TACATGGCACAGCATGTATCTTTTCATACCATGGCAAACCCCCCTCCACCACCCTCATGGTATGACCCCACTCATTGAGGTAACTTTGGAGGATCTGGCTCCGGGGGTGGAGGGTACGACGGCGGAGATGGCGGGGACACATATATGGGAGATAGTGGGCAGGGGAGCGGCTTCGGAGGGAACTACTACGGCGGAGAAGGCGGGCACTAGGGACAGTGCTTGATTCAAGTGCGGGGGAGAGACTCATGATGGTATGTAATTTTAATTTCCACCTAGCACTATGCATGTAATTCTTTTGAACTATTCACAAAAAAAACAAAAAAAGAGAATAAATAAAAGAAAATAAATGCTAGTTAGGTTGAAAACCCAACAAAATGGGCAATCTAAGCAAAAAAGGCTTATAAAAAAATGAGTGAGTTGGGGAGAATGGAAAATGAAAAGAGATGCTAGGATGAAAACCTGAAAAGGCTCCTAGGCAAAATGAGAGATATGAGAGAAATGTTTGATTTTGCAGGCACTCATTGTATCTCTTTGAAGAATAAGAAGATTCAGAAAATAAAGACAAAGAAGAAGAGAGGAGGAGAAGAGAAGATGAACACTAGAAGGCCATAAAACCCAAGATGTTCTTTGTAATTTGAGTTTAAAACTCAATTTTGTCATCCTTGGTGGTCTTTGTGTTTGTATGTTTTTTGTTAAAATGTGAAAACTTTGGAGAAACTTGACACTTGTGAACATTTGATCTTACTCGAGACGAGTAAAGGTTTAAGTGTGGGGGAGTTGATACGTTTGTAATTTCCATATGCATGTTTGTGTTTTTAATTAGTTTTGCTTGATCTTTACTATGGAAATTACACACTTTTGGTGTAATAGATTAGTTTGTTAAATTCTTGTAAATAGTTTAGATTAGATATATTCTGAGCTCAAACAGGCCCTGATCACTCAAAGTACAGTTGGTGAACCCAAAAAAGTGGAAAGAAGGTGCATAATTTGAAGACAAAAGAAGGATCCTGAATATATATATATATATATATATATATATATATATATATATATATATATATATATATATATATATATAAAATTATTGCTCTTCTATTTTCTGAGCTTACATGAGTTATGAGTATATGGATACCAACACTTCATCCTTAGAGAGTCAAATTTCCTTCTTGACTTCTCTAATAAAGGAATCTATCTTTAACTCAAAAGCTCAAGATGCCAAGACATGCAACATTTGCATGTCTCACAGGCATCTTACGGACTTCTGCCCAAAGCTCCAAGAAGAATACCTTGCACAAATTGATGATGTACCTCACATGAGGTATGATCCATTCTCCAACTCTAATATGTCCACGGAGGACATGGTTCGGGCTCTTACTAACAATGTGACCGCCATGCAACAAAACATGGTGCAATTCCAAAATCAAGCCTTGTTCTCCTGTGATGCCTCTTCTAACCGAGAGCTCCTACCTGCCGAGGGCTGCAGTTGCTGAAGGCTTGGTTTTCAAGCCTTGCTCTCCTGTGATGTTTCTGAGCTCGATTCCGTCACTGGTAGCCTTCGGCCATGGGGCCGAAGGCACCCCTTTGCGTATTGTGGGCTGCTTAGAGCTCCATTTTTCTGGGCTTGGCCCGTTCGGGCCTGTTGGGCCTGATTGTAGTAGAGAAAGTATGTGGGCCGGGGGTCCCTGGGCCATATACTCCATCAACTTTATCAAAAGATCTATTAAGACATAGTCAACCTCATTACACATTGCAGACTCAAGCACTTACCTCGGGATGGTTAATATTCAAAAGTGCTTCAATCACGGAGTGACTTACTCATCATCATTGAACTCAAGATCTAGCGTTGTACTAGACGTTGAGTTGGGCTTTCTTTCACTTGTGATTATTTTCCAAGTGTTTTAACCCCATCCCTTTTGCAGTTTTGTACACCATGTCTCTTGGCATTGCTTTTGTAAAAGGATCCGCCAAATTCACATGCGACCGTACAAAATCAATCACAACAACTCCAGAACTAATAAGTTCCCGCACATAGGTGTGTCTCACTCCTATGTGCCTTGACTTACCATTGTACACATGGTTATAAGCTTTCGACAGAGTTGATGCACTATCACAATGGATTGATATCGGAGCCATAGGTTTAGGCCATATTGGGACTTCTGACACTAAATCCTTTAGCCATTCCGCTTCTTTACAAGCTGATGCTAAAGCTATAAACTCTGAAGCCATGGTAGAGTCCGTGATACAAGTTTGTTTCTTATATGCCCATGATAAAGCACCTCCTCCAAGAAGAAATAACCATCCACTTGTGGATGAATAATTCCCTTGATTAGTTATCCAACTCGCATCCGTATAACCTTCTAATATAGATGGTTCACTCTTGTAACATAAGCCGAAGCTCATTGTTTTCTTTAGATATTTCAGCACTCGCCTCAAGGCTTACCAATGAAATATACTAGGATTACTAGTATATCTACTTAGCTTTCCTACCGCAAATGCAATATCTGGTCAGGTGCTACTCTTTGCGTACATCAAACACCCAATCACCCTAGCATATTCAGGCTGTGATACAGCGTTCCCACTATTTGGAACTAATTTCCAACTAGGATCCATGGGAGTGGAAACAGGTGAACAATCCAAACTCCCAAATCTTTTAAACACTTTCTCTATATAGTGAGATTGTGTTAAGGTGATAGTATCACCTTGCTTGATTATCCTAATTCCAAGGATAACTTCCGCTTCACCCATATCTTTCATGGAGAAGTTTGAACAGAGGAAAGCCTTTGTCTCATTTACTTGCCTCAAATCAGTGCCAAATATGTGCATGTCATCCACATATAGACAGATAATGACACCATTACCATGCTCATTAAATTTGCTATATACGCACTTGTCTGATTGGTTTATTTTAAAACCATTTTTTAGCACCACCTCATCAAATCTTTGATGCCATTGTTTAGGTGCTTGTTTCAGACCATACAAGGACTTTAACAACAAACTTTCTTTTCTTGTCCTTTAACAACAAACCCTTCGGGTTGTTTCATATACACCTCCTCCTCCAATTCACCATTTAAGAATGCAGTTTTGACATCCATTTGGTGAATCACAATATTGTGAATGGCTGACAAAGCAATTAACAATCTTATGGTAGTTATTCTGGTTACCGGTGCATATGTATCAAAGTAATCAATACCATGTTTTTGTTTAAAGCCTTGTGCAACCAATCTAGCTTTAAACTTGTCAATGGTACCCTCTACTTTCATTTTCTTCTTGAAAATCCATTTACAACCGATTGGTGTGCAACCGGGCGGTAAATCACTTAGAACCAAAGTATTATTGCCCATGATTGAATCCATTTCATCGTTCACGGCCTCTTTCCAAAATGAAGCATCTTGAGATTTCATTGCCTCCTCAAAAGAGTTAGGATCATCCTCAACACTATAACAATATAGTGTTTGAGTTACGAGGGTCTCTCTTGATCCTTCAACCAAATATAATTGGAAATCGGGACCAAATGACTTTTCGTTTCTAGCCCTCTTACTCCGTCTAATTTCAGGATCATTTTCATGATTCTTTTCCAGTTCATGAAAATATGAATTACTTGGACTGAGATCGACATCCTTTGGCCTAGGAATAGAAGTGAACTGCTTCTCATCGAAAAGAGCATCCCTAGACTCAATAACAGTATGAACCGCAATTGAGTCATTCGGTTCAATAACATAGAATCGATATGATTTACTATGTTTAGGATATCCAATAAATATGCACTCTATCCCCTTTTCACCTAACGTTTTTCGTTTAGGCTCCGGTAATCTCACGACTGCCCTACAACCCCATACCCTAAGATAACTTAGTTGGGGTGTTCTCTTGTGCCAAAGTTCATATGGGGTTATTTTATTTTTCTTGTTAGGAACTCGATTAAGAATATAACAAACAGTTAACATAGCATCACCCCAAAATCCATTACTTAAGCCCGAAATAGACAACATGGAATTAACCATTTTTTCTATCATCGAAATGAAATTCTACTGGAGGTCGAAAACACTATTTTCCTTTAAAGAAGCCGAAAAGAGAACTTGCACCGCAAATGAGCTGTTCATATATTAGTAATGGCATCAAATTTGTACTTATTTTATACATCACAGTGTTCTACCTGGAACTAAGTATGTATATCTAACTTATACGGAGCAATTAAATTCGAAGTAATTAAATACTCCGTATGTATATGCTTGAATCTGGATGAACCACAATAAAAAAAACTGTAACATGTTATATGGTAGTGTATGTATATATAAACATACAACATGTTTGGAATTAAAATGCCTTAAACGTCAACAGATTAAGAGTGATTATAGTTCTATGGTGATATAGTGCATAAGTGCGTGTGTAGGAACTAGCAATCAATTTAAGGAAACATTAGACTCAAGTATATGAGTCATATATATCATCATGTACATGTGCTATCTTTATAAATCATTCATACTGCTACATATGAGTGACAATGGAAATACCACATCTGGTACAATGGAATGTTATATGATTCTTTAAATATTATTATTTCTATCCCACTAAGATCGTAACATGACGAATGACACTCTTTTAGAACCCGTTTGGTAACACTAAAATTGGTCGAATTGGCTAATTCTGCTATATTTTATGAAGTTTTGGTTGAAGTGACAGTATTGGTCGATTCTGCTGATTCATGAAAAAGTTATATTTAGAATATTTTTTATTAATAAATAAAATAAAAAATTATACTCCGTATGAAAAATAGCTAAAACCATCATATACAGTAACTTCAACCAATATAGCCAGAAAAATAACTCCAACCTAATTTTTTCTTCTTATTACATAATTCTGCGTGCGAAATAAAAAACTATGTATTTAGTGAAAAAACTGGCTGATAAGTTTGATAAGCCGAAAAAAGAAGTAAGAAAATGGGCTCTAAAGAAAAGTTGGTTTGTATGATTTAAATTCAATTGAAAAAGTAAGAATGATTTAGAAGCATACAAGATATATCAAATTTGGGATGAATCGAAAAAAAGGACGAGACAACTTGAGTGATAACGAAGGATTTACCTAATAAGTGTAACAAAACAACAATTACAAACTCTATGGGGGTTGTTTGGCTAATAGCGTTTTACCCGAAGGGCTGTTTTGTTTTATACTCCAAACAAAACAAGCTGTGTGGTGGGAGAACTGAGAAGCGCGAGAAATCAAACATGGGCTACAAGCTGGCTAGCATTTGGAGGGAACGAAACCCACGCGGGGGTAATCAAGATCGTAAGTCACCCTCATCCCCTGTTGCTGCAAGTTCCCCATGATTGCAGAGGTCGCCGGGGCAAAGGCGAAGCAATGCGTTCCCGACGTGTCCACCGCCACCAGAATATTCGACGGCGGCAAATTCAGCGTAATCTTATCGGTGAAGTGGAACGAAACAGTGGGGACGGCGATTTTTCCCGTCGTGCCCGCCAAATCGTAACACGTGTCAAACAGGGCTACATTTGAACCTGACGGCCGGGGGCCATTCCCATTGTTGCTCAGCAGTCGGACGAAGGCGTCGCGGATCCGGCTGTACACAGCCCCTGGCAGCCGGGTCACCGCAGTCCCCGAGTCGACGATAATTCTGCCGCCGCCGCCCGGCGATATTTTAATCATACCCTCGTGGCCGACGCTGACACCGGTCAGGGCAGCGTAATAGTACGCCTCCAATCCGGGTGGACTTTTGAGTAACGGAGCGAACACGGATTCCGCCGGGATCGGCGGATTGAAGTCCAGAGTTGACTCGGATTTAGAGTTGTGGTCGACGAGGCAGTACGAGAGAGAGGAGACACTCATTTGGGAGCATAAGGACAAACCGCCGCGGCCGAGGCCCATCGATCCGTCCGCCCCAACAAAGACGCCGGCGTTATTGTGTCCGCAGCCGATCGCGATCTTACCCGCCGCACTGCCGCGGAAGGTTATCGTTTCCGTCACAAGTTCGCCGGCGGATGTGGATCCATCTGCGTAGCGCACATTGTAACCGCACGGGCCGGCATTCCGCCGGCAGGTCTTCCGATGTTTCAGGGACCTACACACTCCAGAATCACACCGGAGTGAAGAGAAAGTCGAAGAATCAGAGGGATTGAAAATGGGGAACTTTTGCGTGTAACAATTGCTGCAAGGTTGGCATTGGATCCAGGTAAAATCGCTCCCCGTATCGACGACCATGTACGCGTCTTTCGCCGGCGCTCCATTCCCGACTTTGGCGAAGTACTCGCCCATACCCAGACTCAACCCGGATTCAACCGGCGCGAGATTCTTCTCCTCGTCCTCTGTTTTCCACCCGTTGACTGTCCGATTGAGGCGGACCTGGATCGATTTCACTCGGGCCGAGTCACGCGCGAGTCGGGCGGCCACCAGCGACCCGTAATCTTTCTCCCTGGTTGGCCGGACCGCCAGCCGAGATCTCAGTGGGAAAGACTTCCAAGAAGAAGAGGAAGGAAATGTAGTTTGCTTATCTTCATGAAGAGATTCCTCTTCCGCCGCCGGAGAAGTATCGACGGCAGAGAAGACGTCGAGCGTTTTCTGAATTGAAGCCTGGACGTCGAATAAAGAAGTGTTCGTTGACGCCTCCTCTGTGACCGTTGGCAGTGAAAGGAATAATGTCAGAAAAATGGGTAAGAGTGAGGGGAGCTTATAAGAAACATTCGCCATTGCCGTTGTGGTTGAATCGGTAATTACTGGTACAATTGTACAAAGGCGGCGGTTTGCGGCTTCAGTTGGCAAGAACATGAATACGACCTTTGCGTGAATATATATAGCCGGCTAGTGGTATACCGTACACTACGCAGCATGTTTCTTTTTTTGACCGGAAAACTAAAACTATATACTCCATTCATCCCTTAGAACTTTTTGGATCAATTATTCTGTGATTTTTGTTATTTCTCTCTCATCTGCACAAATATCAACCATACAGTTTTTATTTTATTATTCTCCGTAACGGTCAATTTTGGCAAAGTTTTAAGAGACGAAAGTAGTACTATGTACTACGTATTAAATCAAACCGATAGTACAACTACGAAAATTGCAAGTCGTAAAGTAATTATCTAACACTAAGTCACTAACCTCCCTCTAAACCAACTTAATTAACCATAAGCCCATGGGTCCCCTCACTTCTGTATCAGACATAGTAGTTCACGTAAAAAAGAGCAAGATTAATCGCTGAAAATGTGAAAGTTTTAAGACTATTAGCGACTACATCACCCGGATTGCCTCTCACCACAAATCTAACTAGGAAAACCCAAACTAAGAGCCTAAGAGCTTCTCCAACAATCACCATTTCATACACGAAAATGGTGTATTTGTCAAATTTTTGCTCCAACAACAACACCATTTCTTTCACCATTTCACCATTTTGGTGGAGAGGGTTTTGCTTTACACCAAATATGGCGTACACCATTTCATACATCATCTTCTTTTTTCAATTTTTTTTATTTCAAATGTTACCCAAAGTTTTTATTCTTATAATTTTGACCCATTTCTCAAATTGAGCTCATATTGAGCTCCACAATGCTTTAATTGATCATTTGTGGGAACAATTCTCAAATTCCGATAACTAAACTAAGAATATTTATTTAATGTATTGCTTTAAGTTTAAGTAGTACTTTATTAATGACGTACAAATTATTATAATATTATTGTAATATTTAATTTTATGTGGTTTTAGTTTGTATTTGTGAAATATTGATTATTATATTTTAATTAGTGAAATGCGTGAAAATACATATTAAAATGGTGTATTTTAGTTTGTATGTGTGAAATGTCAAAATATTAAATGAGGGGCTAATGTATAAATATATGATAATTACATGCTTAAATAGAAGAATGGTAAAAAGTTAGTAAAAAGAATAAAAAGGGAATATTCCTTTTTGGTGATGAAAATTGTGTAAACTGTTGAAGATAAAATACTGTATGATGTGATGTTTACACCATTTTAGTGTACAAAATGGTGTAAACTGTTGGAGATGGCCTGACATCATTATTATTTGACCTAAAAAGAACAAAAGAAAGACTTGCAAGCACGACATAGTAAAATAATTGAACTTGATGAGCTTGTAGAACATTGGAGTCCATTCTTCAAGCAACGTATTCCAGAGCCTAGCCACACACTTCCTTAGTGGCAACGGTTCGGAAGGGGGATGATTTATCCACAAACCATCTTTTCCTCCACCGCCGGAGACGGCCAAAGAAACCACATCGATCCCCCAATAGTCGATTGGGGCCCAAATTAGCCCCCACTTCCGGATCCGAACAGTCAGCGTTCCACCCGGATCAAATACAGCTGGTATAGCTCTCAACTCAATCACCATCAGAGCCAAAATTGCTAATCCAAGCATCGGAGACTCGGGTCTCGCAACCCTAGCTGCCGCAGATCCAAAATTGTTCTTGGCCGTCGCACCCTTCCTGGTCGCAAAACAGATATTCGGCCAAGAACCCTACCCTTCTGCAACGTACTCAGGCCTGCGATGAAAGCCCCAAGTGTTGAAGCCCTAATCGTGAAGCCTCACTGCACTGCCCCGCCCAATAAACTGAAATCGGGACACAGAAAACGCCGCCGCAGATGGCGCCGTCGATCCCTCCAAACTTACCCTAGACTTTCGCTAGGCTCTTCCGCTCTTCATAGGTTAAGGATTCAATTTAATTGTTTTTCTATTTTTCCTTGTATTTTCAATTCACTACACACCATGTTTATTTGACTTATTTTAGTCTAATTAAATATAATCGTATCGTACCATTTTTAAATAAGAGGTACTAATCATTTTGAATAGGATTAAATTAATTTCTAAATGCACAAATTGGACTATGTTATTAATTTTTCCAAAATATGACCAAAGTATATATATACTAGTTTCACATCATATCCTTATTACGGAGTAACTTAATAGGATAATCATATTTAATATTGTAATATAAATACAAAATATTTTAGCATTTACAAAAAATCGTAAAAATATTAATTTGTTTTTAAAGATTAAAATAATAAAAATTAAAAATTAAGATTTGAAAAATAAAACACTTTAAAAGAATAGACACAACACATTAAAAATTAAGATTTGAAAAATAAAACACTTTAATAACATTTAAGTTTAGTACGCTTAGGGGTCTTTTAGGCTTGGCAATTTATCTCATAAATGTGTGTTCTTAACTTGTGATCTATCTTCTTAATATTATGCTTTACTTTCATTTTGACATTCAAATTCACCCAAATAGATGGAAGATATTAAATTTACATTGCTCGCATGTTTAAACGTATTACGGGTTGAATTCAGTTCTTTTTTTGAATTCAGATTTTGTGTAATTTGAATATTTCTATGATCTGTTTTAATTTATTTTCCAGTCAAATACGTAGTGTATGGATTATGTTTAAACTCCAATGAAACCTTTTTAAATGCAAAGACACGGTGTAATAATTGGAGGTTTGATAATGTTCCTTATCGGATTAAATAGTCTTTTTAAAAATGTAAGCTACATATTTGACCGAAATGAGTGATGGTTCCTTTTTGGTATTTTGATTTCTTAAAAAAGGATGACACCTCATTCCTGAAGGTCCCCAATACCGATCGGACAGTTAAATGAGAGTATGTAAATTGCACTTTAATCACAAACTGTTAGATAAAAAATGAGGATCTGGTCCTGGTACTTGCAAAGACCTTATGCATTTTTAGCACATTAATCTCTCATCTCAGTTGCAGGGATTCGAACCCGAGATTTACCTCTTGTGGCACCCCCTATTTACCAGTTGAGCTACGCCCATCGGTAATTTTATTTCATTGAATCGATCATACTGAGTATTCCGTAATACGTTTAATAGATGGAAGATATTAAATTTACATCGCTCGGATGTTCTACTTTGATTGTATTTTATTTATTAGTGTAATAGCAATTAAATTTTTGAGTTTTTTTAAAATTTTTCATTTTAAATTTTCGAAATCGGGATTTTTTATTTATTTACTAATGAGGTATATCAAATTTGTGCATTGACAAATTTTAAAATGCAAACATTACAATTGAAAAAGAATGAAGGAAATATTATAGTTGTTCGATAAAACATGATCATATCAATTGGGTCATTCAAGTGAAATTTTGAATAACGATATTAATCAATGTTTAAAAGAAACTTATTAACTACACATTTTTTTAAAATAATTTTAATAAAGATTTTTTTTACATAATTTTGATATTTTAAATAATTTTATATAAAGAAATAACTTTGCTCAAAACCGGTCATTCTTGACCAAAAAGGGTCCATATAATTAACAAATTAAAGCTTTTTGGAGGTGAGGACTGAGCAGGGGTATATTTTAAAGACACCTCTTCAATTGCTACTTCAATTATTTCATGGAAATAAGTGAATAAGAGTAAAACATGCTGAGTAGCAAGTTTTCTCAAATAAAGAGTTGCTTTATTTTCTCAAATAAGTGAATAAGAGTTGCTAAGTAGTAGGGATGGATTTAAGGGGGGCGTGGGGGCCACCGTCCTCCTTTGAATTTCAAAATTTTCTATTGTATATGTAATATTTTCGTAAAATTTTCATACTTTAATTAGATTCGCTCCCCTTAACTTTTAGTTTTAAAAATTAGTATATAGTCTTACATAATGTAACACTTAATTAGAGATTTAAAAGAAGGAACATCTAAAATAATTTACCTAACTTAAATAAATAAACAATAGAACAACTCATTGTTAAAGATTTAAGATACTTACTATATAAAAATTCTTAATTTTGTAATGTTTAATTATCTTTATTAGATAACTAGTAAACAATGTTGTAAAATATATATCAAACAATATTAAATACCAGACAAACTAGTTACACAGTTTTTAGATCATGTGAAGCGAATCCAACTTATAAATGTTCATTGAATTAAATTACGCAATTCATTTACTTCTTACGTTTTAAAAAGACTTTATTGCGGGTCATACTCCTCTCCATTTCCTTCTCTCCATTTACTCTCTCCATTTCTTTTTCACTCTATCTCTCTCCTTAAAAATAATAATTAAACATAATCTTTTCTTTTTCCCTACCCCACCATTTCTCCACCTCTCTCTATCTCTCTCATACTGGACCATTCCAGTTAATGGAGAGGAGCAAAATCCCTTTATTGCATAGATAATAGACTTTAGTTATTTGAGCAAATATAATATGCACTATATATATTATATATGAATTAGCAATATAGTATTATTCTAAAAATAATAATCTCATACATACTATTGTAATGTTAAGAAAACTCCTTATGACTCATGAACACCCTCCTTGGTAGGCAAAAATTGTAATTCAAAAACCAATTCTTTATTTCTATAAGATTCATGTAGTTAAACAATGTTCAAGTTATTTTAAAAGTATTGGTGAATGTGTACCTTATAAACTCTATTATTAAGAGGAAGCGGTCCAGCTCAGCTGGTCGCCGACTCACTCTCCCGTACGGGAGGTCTCGGGTTCGAAACTCAATGGAGTGAGTTTCAGCCCTGATTATTCCAGGCCCCCAGACCCCCTCCCTCAGACGCCCCTTGGAGTAAAAAATATATTAAAAAAAACTCTTTATCTTTAAATAAAATGTTATATATATTCTTTTTTATTTTCAAATTATTTTTCTTTGATTTGCCATTTCTTACGCTTTAATGTAACAATACTTTTTTCTAGTGCACTTCAATTATAAAATTAAAGTTATTTTGCCATTGTCTAAACTTAGAATGTAATATATAGATTTAAATATG